ATCAGTATATATGCCTAGGGTGTAGTGGTGTTGATTTGGGTGTGATGGTGTTGTTGTAAGCACTACATCCCTTATATACCTTTTGCATAGCCTTTCCAATGTCTTCATGGAAAACAATGTCAGGGTAATTGGTCTGTATGTTTTTGGGACAGTATAATCCATCCTTCCAGGTTTGGGCATAAATTCTACTTTCATCTCTCTCCATTTTTAGAGTATATACCTCAAAGCCAACGAGGATCTGAATATAGAGTGGGGATGGTTTGTGTGAGTGTGTTTATCTGAGGTTTGTGCACGAGCTTTAGGAACGAACCAGTTCATATAACTATGATTCCTAATTTACATCATAGTCACACAAAATAAATTGTATAATTTCCTGTAAACAAGTTCAGCTACAATAAGTAATAGTTACAACTAGAAAAATAAATTAAATATATAATTACTGATACAAAGAATATAAAATATTCTTCTTTAATGTAATTTTGAAACCCATTTGTCCTTATGTTAAGTCAATTACGAATTATAACCATAAACAATACTTGTAACAAAAGTATCCCATAATAATTTGACAACTACTGCTTGAATTTTGATTATTGCAAACCAAATTTATCTAGTAGTTATTCATCATTGGCTGAAGCAAATATTTTGAGGATAATACTTATGGCTGTTTATTACTATCTAAAAATCCTTCCAGGTGAGCTGTTACTCGACCATCCTTGCAATTTAAACATTTTAAGGGGTAAATACAAAAACGTACTTCCTCAGAAACAAAAATTGTTTAGCAAATATTTTAAAGAGGACAATAATACTTATGAATATACTTATTGCTATCTAAAAATTCTTCCAAATGAGCTGTTACTCGACCATTCTTAAAATTTAAATATTTTAAGGGGTAAATACTCTGCTGAACTGTTGAAAAAAGCGGCGACACAAAAATGTACTAACTCAAAAACACAACGGCACAACTTATTTATACTGTTTAATACAAAAAAAAGTATGTAGCAAGAATAATTATAAATATTGGTTAAAAGGCATAGGATCAGCTTAGATGTTCTTCCTCTAGTATTTAGTGCTTCGATAAGTAAACAGCCCAGAACAAAAACATATAAAACAAAATGTTGATTGAAACTGCCACACAAAATCCCCACTACTACTACTGCACTGCTCATTGTAGAAAATTAAATATTTTCTTTTTAAATGTATTTAAACTTATGTTTTTAAGTCCATTGATAAATTATTATAAATTGTAGCCATATGAAATCTAAAATATCTTTCAAACATGGTGGTTCTATGTTGTGGGATTGTTAAAAAATTCTTTCAGCTAATATTGATATTATGTGTATCAAATATATCTAATTTTATTTTATAAGTTTGGATGTAAACTTTTAGTTGTAATTTTATGGGAGTTAAGGAGTGCAACTTCCTTATATTAACTATTGATAACCAATGCTTCCAAAAGAGTATGTGACTAATTCTAACAAATTTTCTTATACCAAAAATGAACCTGAGACACAAGTTTTGAAGTTTCTGCAATTTAATTTTATCAACTAAGGTTAAGCAATGATTGTAGATGTAGCATAGCAAATATTACTTTTTAGTTTAATACTTAAGACCTTCGTGTTTGCATAAAGAAATTTAAAATTAGTGTAGGCTTTTTGTAATATAAATGAAAGATGGTCCAGGAATCTCAATTTTGAATCGAGAATTGGACCATGTTATGTATTTGTGAATTAGGCGAAATTTAACTACATGTTTTCGAGAAACAGGAATAGAAAGCTACTTAGTATTTAATTGGCAAATATGAATACCTATGTCGCTTAATACATGTGTTCTTAAAATTGGTAAAATTGTGAATTTTAACTAAAAATAAGTTTTGTAACAAAAGTTTCAATGATTATTAAAGGATGGCACCATTTTACTCGATTTTTGAATTTTGAATGCCATACAATTACACTGAGAATTACACCTAGATCTAATTAATTTTTTTACAACATGTAAAATATTATTCATTTTAATCACTAAATCATTAGCGGAAATGTTAACAAAGCCAAATCATGCAAAGCCAAATCATGATTCTGAGACACTTCAATAAGAACAGTATATTTATGACGACTTAGATATACTTATTAATTTCTAAAAATGCTTAGGCCAATTTCATGAAAATGTTTACTTTCTTAATAATTTTAATAGGGTGACTTTTAGATATATTACAGTTGATACAGAAATTTTAGGGACGGGTCATTTGGAATTTTACACAAAAATATTAAAACATAAAACCGAGTAGGAAACATTTTTTTTTAACCAAGGAAATTTCCTTTAAATTTGTGCAATATGATTAGGAAACAGCCTATATAATGGCAGAGATCCTAAGAAGGCCATATTTTTGTTTTTATTTTATCAGTAATTTGTTTGTCATTATGTCCTAGCTAGCACAAACATTGATGGGAAGTTAGGCAACGTTAGTTTTAATGCCTTATGTAAACATTTTAAGCTGATATTGTAGCAACTGCACTGTAACGTTTCTAATCAACAATTAAACGTTACATTGCATTGTTTTGGAGAAATATACCTGATTCATTTTAAAAACATTTCGAAGGAACATTTTTTCAAGCTAAATTAAAAACTTCCCAACGACATTTCATTAGTGCATTTATGACAACATTACCATGAAATGTTGTTGAAATACTCATGGAATATTACCTATAAAGCACGAAAAATAAATGCGGAAATTAATATTGCAGATACGTTGTGGTACCTATATTGAATGGTAATGTTACCTGTAAATCGCCCTTAAAGGTTGCTGGTATATTGATGGATTATTATTGAAAAATTCCCTAACCAATTTATTTTTGCCGCGGTGATGGTGTCGCCTATTTTGCTGATTAAAGATTGAATGTTTAAGGCTTCTGTTGATGGAAGGCCTCTTTTTTTATAATATTCACTGTTTGTTTTTTACTTGTTTTAATAGTGATCTTGCACTTTCGTGCATATTTGCTGGGTAAGTAGCTACAAACATTCTATAAATGTACAAATCAATTAAGAGCCTTTCTGCTCGTCTTAGAAGACGCCTTATAAGCAGAAATTATTATTAACCACAAAAACCGTAGGGATCAGGTAAGTTCTTCTGAATTGGTTTTTGTTGAACAACAAAATCTATTGCAACACACAGGAAGCTAATTGTGCTCTCCCCATAGTCCCCATTAAGCCAAATAATGATAATATCTTTGAGCCTGATCAAGATTTTGACTTTTTTATTCTTAAACAAATGAGATGTATAAAAATACATTTTACTTTCTTATTATGTGAGTAAAAAATCCTATGAGGGTTGATTTTTTACATGATTTTTTCTGCCTGTCAGTATATTTTGACACAAATATAAACAATTTACCCATTACATTCTAATCTAAATTAAATCTAATTTTAACTCAAGTAACTCTTACTAAACTCTTACTAAAATATGTTGGTGGCCAGGATGCCAAAGATTGGACCTACAGGTTATTGAAATCCATAATGACTAATACTTTAGCTCAGACATGCTCATGAACTGGGCGCAAAAACAATTTTGAAATAAGACATCTCAAAATTTTTGATTTATTATATCATAGAAGTTGTGTCAAAAGGTAAATCCTATATGAAAAAATTAAACCCCAAGGCAATTTATTTTATTTTTACCCTGTCAGTCAATAGGGTAAACATCAGTATTATTTTCCTCTCGAAAAAGTAGATCATATTTCAAAATATTTTTCTATTCCAGGTGTGGTGAATCAGAAAATATCATGTACTGCAAAAGATTTTCAGAATTATGTTGCAGAGTGTTATTTTAGAGTTGATTTGTTGAATATGATTTAAAATGTATTTATAATGTATAACATGCATATATATGTTTTACAATATAGTGTTATATTTGTTTTTTCTTCACTTTACCTTATTCATGTTTAGTTCATAAAGTTGTACACATAATCATGGCTTACTAATGTACATATTTTAAAAATCTCACTAAATCTGGAACTTATTTTTTTTTTGTCAATAACATATTTAAATTTGCATTCTATTTCTGTAAAAAAAAATATTTACAACTGGAAATGGTACAGAGTGGAGGCGTTCGATGTTTCCGTAATAACCAACCATTAATGTTAAGAGTGGGATCCAAACTTTTCAACGAGTTTAAAGTTTTTAGCTATTTTTTGCCATTTCCTTTATTTGTGTTTAATATTATTTTACAAATATGCTCATACTCTTTATTAGGCTAATTCCTTTCATACAGTAACCAAAAGACATTTTAACATTGCCCCAATTTTGAGATTAATAAAATTTAGGAAAACTAAATGAATAATTATTAATTTTTTTAAATGTTAATCTCAAATTTCAGCAAGTTTTAAAATATCTTTGGATCACTATATAATTTAATAGTTAAAAAAAGTATTAAACACAAATAAAGAAAATAGCAAAAAAATTAGCTGAAAACTTCAAACTTGTTGGAAAGTTTGAATCTCTTTCTTATGTCTAAATGGTGTGTTAAGTTTTTAGAGGAACATCCATTTGAAATGTTCCAGGTATATTTAAATTGAAATGTTTTGGCGCACACATAAATTTACATTCCTTAAATAGTTATTCACAACATAGTAGAAAGGTTACACTACTACACTATGGTGGTTCGAATATTTCTAGAATATATCACTGAAACTTCTATGCAATATTTTATTAAGGGCTTATGAGGTGGACATTTCAATGTTTCAGAAACGTTGTGGCATACATACAAATAACATTGCTTGTGAGGTTTAAAGGCGTTTTGTAACATTTAGTTACTTTCCAGAAATGTTGCTGTGCTGGGTGGGGTGTCACTACTCAATTAGGTATATTAATAATATAACCTATCATTAGGCATCTTCTTAGAATCTATTAGGATTATGTTGTGAAATTTTACAATTTACCTATACCTATGTATATACGTTTTCTGTTTCAAATAATGGCAGATGTGTGGTTAATAAAATATAATTACTCACTGTATCTACCCTCTTGTTCCAATCCATTTCTGGGTCAAATTCTTGCCTATATGTTACATTTTTTCCCTGATAAGGATAAATTGCACCTGGCCACATCATACTACCAGAGTACCTATCGTCCCCCTGGTCTTCATTCCATCTCTAAAACAAAAATGATTTAACTCATGATCAATTAAAAAATAGAAAATTTATATTGATATTTAAAGGACATCTAAAGATTTTAATTACTTACCCAAATTGGAATAATATCTTCATTATAGTGGAACATATCAAATCCCATTTTTTGTTTAATATGTTTCTTCTGGTCAAAATATGAATTGCCTACAACACCATGCACTTCAGCATATAAACCCGTGGCAATCGAATGATGGTTAGGAAATGTTTTTGTAGGAAAAACGTTAATCAAATAATCTGCGTAAGTACCAGCTTTTTTAAGTCTTTCCATATTAGGAACCAATTTTGTATCGAAAAAATTATACCTGAATGCATCGTAGGATACGACTATTAATATTGGGTGGTTTGATATTGAATATACAATATTTAGTAATGAAAAGAGCACTATAATTTTGAATATCATTCCAAAATATGTCCGACTTCGCTACTTGCTAGTTTTTGCGTCTAATGTGCACTATGTACTATTTTTATTTTATAGTTCTGTTTTTAAAGTATGAATAGTATGATAGGAATTGACACTGACAGTACGTCGATGGTTATATGGCAAACATGTGACAATTTGACATGGAACGTGAAGTATCAGGCTTGGTATCTGAAAAACTCGCATATTATTTTAATAATTTAAATTAGAGAATTTTATGATAAATCACATGTAAACAAAATACTTTTTTGATTTAATTCAAGCAAAGAAAATGAGTCATATTTACCTACAATATAGGCAAAAAAATACAATGCTGTATTTTATATTGCCTACCATTAGGTTACAAATTCTAATTTTATATTTTGTACTTCATTAAAAAGTAGGCAACTGGTAATGCAATTATTTTTTACAAGTATATTTAGGGATAATATAGATAAGTTTTAAGAACTTCTCAGGCGTTTCTGTTATTGGTGATCTATTAAATATTTTCATATATTCAATATTTGTTCTTATTTCACATATAAAGCAGTAAAAATGCTAAAGTATTAGGAAGAAACTAGAGTATACAATTACATGACACCTGGCAATGCTGGAATGGGATCCTGTAAACAGGCTCATCTTGGACACGGAACACAAAGTTTCAGTTTGAAAATAGCTTTCGTATGCAACATACAGGGTTCATTTGAAAACATCCCATCATTAATATTTTCCTCCAGGTAAATAATATGAAAAATCGGAAAGTCACATCCATTTTATTTTCAAGGGGGACACTAGGAAGGATAGATATTGTTACCCTTAGAATCCTAAAAGGGAAAGGGGGTCAAGCAACACATCATTTTAAAGGTAATTTTATGGGGAAATCAGCAATATGACTATTCAAGCGCCCGCTAGCAGGATAAACAATGTTACGTATTGTAAAGTGTGACCCTTCATTTGAAAGCTAATTTTATTAGTAATTTCATGCGTACTTAGAATACATTTTTGTTATTTTAGTTGATTGCGATTAGAGTTTGTATTTATTAACGTTATAGATATATACCATTAAAATAATGTTCCACTTGACCCCCCCGCTCATTAACATTCTAAACATACCCTTAGGGGGTTGAACCACGATTGCTAAAAATATTCATTGAAAGTATATCCCTCTAAAAATAAATTGACATGTCCTTTTGGACCATTTTAAAAGCATCCAATCATTATCGTTCAATAATAACGGTGAACGTGGCGAAGAACACCGGGCGGACGCGAAGTATGAGTTCGGGTGGAATCAAGAGAAGGATCGATGGAGAGAGAAAGGTGAAAAAGGGTTTTTGGTTTGGTGGTTTAACCTTCTACAATATATTGTACTAAAACTTAAAATAACAGGTGAAGCAACTTAGTTATTTTATTTCAACAGAATATGTTAATATATGCCGCGTTTGAGAATCCACATCAGATCCATTTTTTACATCTCGAGCGTTTTTTTATCCACATCGGATACATCTACTACATCTACATCTGCGTTTGTTTATCCCAGGTGTACCTGTTCAGATTACATTTTTTACATCTCGATTTCAAATGAGATGTGAATGAGATGTTCATTCCATGCCAAAAAATAAGTGTTCTGTGAAGCCTTTGTTTGTCAATTTATCCTTTGTTTATGCTAGCATGAATATAAAAGTGATTAGTTTCTTTAATTTTTGTTTATATTTCAAATTTAGGTTGATTTGTAGTCTCAAAAGTCATATTTAATATGTATAAACTTCTAACTTGAGGGGGTGGGTGGCGCAGTGGTAGAGTCTCTCTGCCTGTGGATCCAACGGTCCCAGGTTCGAATCCCACGTTGGCCGGGATTTTTTTATTTAATTTAATTATTTAAAATTAATTCTGATGCCTTGGTAGGATTCCCCACTCGACCATTCACTGTTGGGTTCTAATTAACAGTGCTGTTCCTAAAGTGGCGCAAGGAAACAGTAACAAGGCCTGTCTGTAGGGGTGTAGGAGTATTAGAGTACTAATACTACTGCAATATGAAGTACTAGACTACTAGTACAATCCATAACCTACATAGAACACTAGGCTAATGTCCTTAGATGTTGAAGCCGTACACCAAAGAAAAAAAAACTTCTAACTTGTCATTGACATTTTATCACGTGACCAAATAAAGTCTAGAGCGTTTGTTTATTACATCTACATTCAGATCTAATTCTCTATCACGTGATAAAAAATTCGCAACATCCAGATGCATCGTGGATTCTCAAACGCGGCAATATTTTCCATTTATAAATAATTAGTAGCTAAAATTTTAAAATAACCCTTATCGTAGTTATAATTTCTATATCGAGGAAAGTTCTGAGTAATAACTTTGCCGATTTTTTCCATTCTATATCTATCCCGTCTAATTTGACGGTTTTGAAATTGGGGTTTCTTTTCCTTGAATGGGCTACTAGTGTTGTTTTTGTGGGGTTTACATTAAGTTCCAGCTCGGAGCACTATCTTCTGGAGTGTTCTAGTCCCCTTTGGACATTACACATGATATTTATAAACTTGCATCTAGCAAATATGGCCATGTCATCGGCATAACTTTGACAGAGCGTGTCGAGGTCAGTCAATCTGCCTAGAAGTTCGTCTACAATTAGGCTCCGCATTAGTGGGGACAGAACTCCTCCTTGTGGACATCATCTGGTTGTGTATATTATGGTGATGGTGTTCTATTCTATCTGTGTCTGCAGTTCTCGTAGATAGCAGCTGAGCCATCCATCTGGATATGGTGAAATCTACTCCGCTGTATGTAAATGCCATCTTGACAGAGGTTCGTGTGGCGTGTTCTCAAACGCTCCTTCTATGTCTAAGAAGGCACACACGACCGTTTATTTGTTTGTCTGTGCATACTGGATTTCGTCAGTCAGCTGTACCATGGGAGTTTCTGTTGATCTTCCTCTTCGGTACGCGTGGTAGAGTGGCACGCTCTCCAGGATTTCTATTCCGATATAATTATTAACAGCTTTTTCCATTGTTTTTAGTCATAAAGATGTGAGGCTGATTGGTCAGAAGGATTTAGGATGTGTGGTATCCTTTTTCCCCACTTTTAGAATAAAGATGACTTTGGCCCTTCTCCATGATTCTGGTATATATATTCCAGTTTCAAACTACTTCGGGTTATCCGGATTATGTGTGGTAGTAATTCCTACTATGCTTGCTGAAGTAGGGCAGGAAATATTTCATCCACAATGGAGCCTTCAACGGTTCACGGCACACTTTAACCGATTGCTGCTGCATGTGCTTGGCAATTACAGCGACCTCTTTTGAGGACCTGTTTACCTTAGTTGTATCCTTTATTAGAAAAGGTGTGCTCCCGGGAAAGTGAGTTTCGAGTAAGAGGCGAGCTCTTTTTTCCACTTTCTCCACGAAGCTTCTATTTAGAGCCATAGCTGTTTTACTTTATATTTATTATAGATTTCTTCACATTTATTCATAGTTAGAAACAACTTATAATTTAATAAGATTTATTACTTTTTGTAGATCGAATGTACGCTAGCACGCTTCATGCCTGTTCGACATAAAACACTGCTCATGCAAACCTACGAACATGACTACCAACATATAAACTATAACAACTAACCATAGAATAATTAATCATAGAACAACTAATCATAGACCAGGACCCTGTGCCGCATAATTTTCTGATTCTGTTGCGTTTAGCTTTGCTGATTTCCTGATAATAAAACAACTTCAAATATGTGGGATTAATTCGGAGTTGTTTGATTTTCTCAAATATTAATTGTCAAAGTACTAGCTAATGTCTCGTGGAATGTTTTAAAACAAATCGAAAATAAAATTTATTTTAAATAGTTAGTTATTTTATTGTGTATATATTTATTTAAATTATATCTAGGGCTCTAGAAATAATCTAATTAAATATAATTTAACCTTAATAAATTAGCGCATATTTCTAAATTTTTCGTGTATTTTGCAATTTATCTCGACATAATTTTGTCATTTATAATCAAAGAATAAAGTCCTCGAACTAAAAGCTCTCGGACTATATTCAGATTATTAATGAAAAATTATATGTCTCGACAAATTGACATCAAAAACACTCAAAATTTAGATCTGTTTAAAAACTTTTGTTTATATTTTGTTTAATCAGTGTAGATGCAATTTGATTATTCTTTGTGACATAATAAAAAAAATTACAATTATTAAAAAAGAAATGTCGCCAAGTCAAGAATTAAAAATGAAAAGATTGATACAGTCTACTTACAATTATTATTTAACTATTTGAACCAGCAGTTTACAGTTTAAACAAGATCCAATATAAATAGTCGACAATTTATCAAGGTCTCGTTATATTACCCTTGACTATTGACATATCCTAGAAAATTAAAAGTATGTTTAATTAGTAAAAAAGTTATTACTATTTAATTGCTCGTTAAACCATCAGCTATATTCCATAAGTTTATTAAAATTACGAGAGAATAATTGTTGCAGAACTAAAACTTTATAGGGATGCATTGCCGTAGGTAGTTTGTGCAACAAGATTGGATATGATGGCCATATCGCACGACGACGAACTTTAAGCACGACGCCTTAGGCGGAGTGCTCAATCATCTGAGTGCGATGTGGATAATCCGCTTAATTTGTAGAGTATATTTTTTCTACGACCCACTTATAAAAATTTACAAATAAAAAATCTTTTAGTTTATTAAGACAAAATAACTAATTTTAAAATTATTTATGTTTTTTTATAATTTTTAAAATAACATAAACGAAAAAAAATTAATATAAAAGTCCACAGCTGAGGCTCGAACTTGGGTTTCTCGCGTGGAAGGCAGATACTCTCACCACCCGTCTACAGGCAGAGCTGGCAACATTTTTTATTACTCCTAATTGAATTGACTTTATAGAATTTTATTAAAATTAACAAATTATTTATAGTATAAATAAAAATAGAAGTTATTTATCGATTCTACACAAAAATAAGTACAAATTTTTCCATCTTCAGGTGCAGTCAATTTATAAAAATTATAGGGACAGTTTAAAAATTTTTCAAAATAAAAGAACGCCATCTTTCTATTTCACATCGTTTGGTGTATTCGAAAAAATTATTATTTTTAGAATTTCGGTTGTAGGAGAATCAGACCCCCAAACACTTATCCAACCAGTTTGAGCTACTATTTTTTTCACCGATTTATATGGACTTTGTTCCATGAACAATAACAGCTTCTTTTATTATCGTGGCCCTTTCAGCGTCCTTTCCATGATGCAATTTTTCGTTCTCGTAAAAGTTACTTAAATGGCAGGTACTTTCAATTTGTTTTGTGATGTTATCAGATCCCGTGGGATACGGGTATTGATGAAGATCTAAACCGGAAATTTAGATAAAAAAATAATGTGTAATTTGTTTCATAAAGTTACACCGCGTAAATAAGTCATCAAGAAGGCTATAAAAACACCACTTCCAACACCCATTATATGAACCAAAACCATATTTATAATTAAGTCATTCCGAGTGGATGATACCTACCTACTTTAATTTTTTTTTAAGAAAATTATGGTGGTTAAAATAGGTACGAATTAATAAGAGGTATATCTGTTGCATCTAAAATGAAAAAAATACAAATTTCCTTCCATTTTATACTCATTATGCCCGGAATTGGAGACTTTATAATACATTTAATTTGATGTCAGTTTAAAATATATCATTCAAAATAATTGAAAGACAGACATTTGTTGGGTTAATGCTAGACATTAACGCACTGATGCAGTCATTTTAAATGACAAAAACTACTCCTACTACTACTGTATTAACGGCTGTATTTTTAAAGTCTATTTATACCTTCTTAATGACTATCCATATCCCAAAAGTATATATCCTTGTATACGCTAAACAAATACAACTAATTAAAATATACACAACAACTATGATAAGCGCATTATCATTTGTCAAGATTAAAACACTCGCCGAAATATTTAAGGTTATCTCAGTCTCAGTTACCCGGCGAGAATATATAAAACTGTATATAAAACTGGTGTTATTTATAAGTGAAGGTCAAGAATCTGAGCTAGAATGTTTGTAAAAATCATGAGGCACCAAACAAAGACATTTTTTACTTTCAAAAATGTTAAAATATCGACAAGGAATATAAGTAATCGACCAGATTTTACTAAAGTAAATTAAATAACATTGATGTAAGGTAAGGCAATATTTATAAAATCAATTCAATGTGTTCTTTTAAGAATAGGTACAAAATAACAAGAGGCAATTACAATTATTTACATGAAGAGCACATACATTATTTTCAAAATCTTTTGGGAGAGAGCAGAATCGTTATGGATCTGTCAGATTTGGAAAAATATAATGTGGACTGGTTTAACCAAGTGAGAGGTTAGTTTTTGGAATACATAAATGTATACAGTAGAGCGTCGATAATTCGGACGTCAAAAATCCGGACCGTCGTTAATCCGGATTTAATTACGGTAAAAAACAAAATGTTTGTTCCAATAACGAATCTGATCATCAAAAGGACATTAGACGCATGTGCATTGAAAATAGTCCGTTCCTACAAAGCCACGGATAATCCAATAAACTGTCAATAAAACGTTTCAACGTATTTTCTAATTCGTACTAGAATGGGTTGGCGGATTATCAAAACCATCAGAGCTTCATTGATTGTACAATTTATCAGCACATGTGCATTAGAAAGTTTCATCTCGTTCGTGCTATTTGTAATTGTCGGAGAGTTTAAGTTAGCTTGGAGTGGCTTGGGTTTCTATTTCTTTCAATTGAAATTAATATTTTTTGTTTTTATCTTGTGTACGGTATTTGTCATGTAAAATATGTATTTCATTATAACAAAAATAAGCATCAATATTATACATTCACATAGAGCGTTCGAGGCAGCTAAATAAATGTATTTTGTTGTATTTTAAATAATGTTTAAAGTACCAGTTCACCAAACATTTGTCTGGTTTGTCCAAATACGTTGAATTTTGCGTTCCAACAAGTACAAGTCGCTGATTAAACAACGGACGAATAAACGGACTGACATGGGCAGTGATTAGTTTACGAATGCATCCATGCACGATTCAAAGACACATCAGAAAGTAGTTGTTGGAACAAACCTAATAAAAAGTTGAATTGAATACATACATGTATATTTGTCAAACAAAAGCGTTGATGTGTTCCTATTAATTAATGATTTTAATTATCTGCTTAATTATTTAACCATAAAAGTAAACTATTAACGGTTTTAGCAAGTTTTCTTTTTGTTATGAATTCAAACAACCTTCTTTGGGTCTTTTCGAAAATCCGAGAATTTTGATAATCCGGACAGGTTCCGGTTAAAATTAATCCGGATTATCGACACTCTACTGTAGTAATATAAGTTCAAACTATGAAAAAAGTAGGTTTGTTGTAATGTTTAAAAAATATTTTTGTTCGATGGTCTCATCTTGTTAGTACTGCTATGGAGATAGTTCCGGACTTGGAAATGATCAGTCAGAATGCCTGCGTAATTAGGCGATTGTGTAAAGATCATAGTCATTCATTCAAGATCATTTATTTGCTTTGGTGATGTCAGGGTAACTTAAAAGCTCCCTGGCAACTCTGCAGCTTCTTATTTCTTCCCACCTTTGATTGAATTTACAAAAGAATGTTCTATAATTAGGTTTCTCACTACCGATGTTGTCAGTCTAATGAAAGGGCCAGGTCCAAAAAGCGTTTGGTTAGTTGCCTTCTAGGCTAGTGAATGAGCAAGACGGTTATCTTTCAATGTGGCGTAACCTTTGATCCATCTTAAGATGACCACAATGTTGATGTATACTTCGGCCAAGGCTTTAGTATATTCTAGTACTATCCTTGAGTAATGGTTTGTCCAGGGTGCGTAGTACTTGTCTGGTATCTATCTAGATTAGCATGTTTCTTCCAGTGATATTGTTTCTGTAATTTCTTTTGCTGATATGAGAATTCATTTTTAGAAGGCTTTATATCATACCTGTTTCTTCTGACAACATTATTTTGACTATTTTGGACGATGTGTGACCTAGGAGCAACATTGCTTTTAAGGATCTTACCAGAGTCCCAAGTGTTATTGACATGATTATATATGGTGACATTTGACCCTTCTTCCAATGGTTTAAGACATTTATTACTTTTATCATATTTTAAATTCAATAAACGTTTTGCCTATAACCTTTCTTTTACATCTTTACACAATTGGAGCAGTAATAACTCATTTGATGTAGGAAATTTAGTTTTGCATATTCTACAATTAAGTAACTGCGAGGGCGAATAATCCATACCTTTTAACGGTGAGTTTAAGGATATTTTAATATCTTTTCCAGCTTCTAATGCTTTCTTTAATAGATTTTTTGAAATTAAGGCAGCTTGTTCCGCCAATCTATTGGAATACGAAAAATTTGGACTAAATTTCCAGTCACTTGAAAAAATTATTTAAAACGTTCACTATTGAAAGGAACATTATCACATATCATAACCTCTGGGGGACCGAATCTTCAAAACACAGGTTTAATTTGTTTTATTACCGAGTTGGCACTTTTTGTCCACTTTTTTCCATTCCTGGATGGCCTTCATGCAGAAGTTTAAGCATTTCACTTCTTAGTGCTCTTTCTTCAATTCACTTTCGTTTTTTTCTGTTTTGTTTCATTTCTGCACACACTAGCAAAGTGATTTTTTCCTTGGCACTTGGCACATGTTTTTCTATAGGCTGGACACCTGTTATCCCTATGTCTGCATCCACAATATATACAGTTCTTACTCGATGTCTTCACAGCACTTATTCCAGCAGCTTCATTTTGTAAGGCCTTCGACTGACTCTTACTTGCTTCAACGGTTCGACAGAATGTTGCGGCCTTATCTAGAGTTAAGGTAGGTTCCCTTAGCAATCTTTTCTGTGTATTTTCCCCGTACACTCCCATCACAATGCGGTCTCTGATCATTTCTTCCTGGTTGACGTATTCTGTAGAACGAATAGATTTTTTTAGATCAAGATAAAGCTGTTGAAAGACTGTCCCTCCTTTTGAATTGTGCTATTAAATTTAAATCGCTCATAAATTACGTTTTTATTAGGTGCACAGTACAGCTCAAATTTATTCAACACGGCTTGGAGTGTGTTTCCACTAGCCGGTAGACCGAAGGTGTTATATAATTCTAACGCTTCATCTCCTACTAAATTAAATAGTACTGCTATCTTTTTTACCTCTGGTTTGCTGTTCAGGTCTGTAGCCGTTATGAAAACTTCAAATTTTTGTTGAAACCTACGCCAGTTTTCGGCCATATTGCCATCCAAAACTAGGGGATCTGGCGGTCTAAAATAGTTTTCCATTATCTCGCTTTGAAGTACTACTAGGTAATTGATTCACACTTGACACCATGTAAGAGCTATACCAGCATGCTTTTAAATAAGGAACTAGTGTGTATTTTAAGTATTTATTAAAATACGTTAACTACAACTTCTAGATAAAACATGAATAATATACAAAGTGGATCGAACTACTGAAGACTGACAGCTCACTGTCCACTATGGTTAATGTGACGTTGCCGTACTTATAACCATATTATACTTACCACATTTATGTTTTCTTCTCGCTTTAAATGCATATGTTTTAGAAAACACCCAACACGCACTCTTTATTATCCAGAGATATGTCTATCTAGTCAGAAACTAGGTAAAGGGCTGAATTAATTGATTTGCCTGAGGTGTATTCATGTTGATTTGGGCGCAGCGGTGTTGTAATCACCACATCCTTTAAATATTTTTCGCATTGACTTTACATATATGAGGCCAAATTCTAGCTTGGACCTTATGAATGCTTTATATTTCGAATTATACGGCCAAGAAATTAAACTAAATTTTGGATCGAAATAATTACCAAACTCTTTAATAAGTCCTGATCGCATTGGTGAGGTATAATGCAACAGGTACAAAAAAGTAATAATAGAATATTTTTAACTAAATTACATAACGTTACATTTACTTGCGTTTAAAGGAAGTTTGTTTTGGGAATCTTATGTGCCTTTTAAAGTTGCCTACCAGGTGTGTGCGTTTATATTTTCGTCAAAGATTTCTTTTGTATTTTGTCATAGACATTATCTCACTGTTTATCCAAAGCTTTGTCTTGTTACTGTTTATCTATTTTTTGTTGTTGTAGTGTGCTGGTTTTTTGCAATTACAATGGTGCTAGTTAAATTGACCCACATTTTGCAAGGACCATTTTGAGGGGTAAGCTCTTCTAACCAATTAGCATGTGAACGTTCTCTAGACATATTATCAAAGTTTGATAATAAATATGTCGATCAGACTATTATTAATAGAGGGAAATTCCAAGTTTAATAGAATGTTGTTTATAATAACAGCATGTTATATGATGTATAGGGAGTTAATACACTGCGAACTAAAAAATCTATTGTATCCCCTTTTACCGCTAATGCTAATGCCTATAACTACGTTCGTAATGCTATCTTCAGAAGGAAATGTAGGATTTGGAGTGGTACCAAATTTGGTAGATCGCCCTCTTCTATTTGGAATGCGCTTGGATTTTACAGTATTACACATTCAGTCAGAATGTGAATGAATGTTTGTTTCATCATCTTCCTCCTTAGATTATCTGCACTATCTTCTTCTCAGTTTACTAAGGTGTTCTTTAAGTCGGCAATGCCCGGTAAGGAACCCTGTTCTTGCAGGACAGATCCAGGCGGCTTTTGATCTATTTTGATTATAGTCACCCAGATGTATCTTAGCCTATCTTAAACCCAAGAGATTGTTCCAATTATCGGTTCTTCTACTGCATTTTGTTTTACTGCTGGTACCGCAAAACGGCTTAGGACCGACAAAGAGAGTTTGTGCCCCTTTCCTTGCTAGACTATCTGCAATCTCGTTACCATTTATCCCGTTATGTCCTCGGACACAATTGAGATTAACTATATTTTCCTCGCTCCCAGTTTTTCTAGTCATTTCGAGATCATTTTTGAACTGATTAAGCGTTTTGATGGCTGCTTGGCTGTCGGACATGATGTTAATCTCTTCTTTGCGATAGTTAGGGGCACAGCATAGTGATCAACGTTCAAATATGATTCATTATCAACGAAACTTACTAATAAACTCAATTTATTTAAATTTAAAGGTTTACAAAAAATAATGTTGCAGGATGCTCCAGCATTGTTCTTAAACCCAAGACAACAGAAGAAGTATCAAATATATTACGGTTCTGCGACTTAAACAAACTAGCTGTGTGTCCACAAGGAGGCAACACAAGCGTTCTAGGTGGCTCAGTTCCCGTTTTTGATGAGGTAATTATTTCCACTGAACTTATGAACGAAATTGTCGATTTAGACGAGCATTCAGGTGAGTCAGAAATTTTAAGAAAATCGTCAATATTTGGAACTGTTTTTTGTAGGTGTTATAACTTGTCAAGCTGGATGTATTTTAGAGAATATTGATAATTATTTAGAAACAAAGGGACTAATTGTGCCGCTGGATCTTGGTGCAAAAGGAACATGCCATATTGGGGGAAACGTATCCACTAATGCTGGAGGAATGAGGTTGATCCAGTTTGGAAACATGCACGGAAATATTCTGGGGATTGAGGCCGTGAGTTTTTCTTACTCGCCATCTTACTTTTAAACCTCGATTTTGATTGATTGAATTATCGATAGAATGCACCAGTGAACTTTTAAAGAATACAAACCATACTGGACCTGAATATCAGCCTTGAGTAATATCTAAAGGCTACCATTAAAATATTTCAATGAGATGATATTTTATTTATATGTAATTGAACTTTGTTACGAGTGCATTGTAACTATTTTACTTAAATTTATTTTGTGTTTACATGAATCTCGAGTTTCCATTGTTGGCTTTTCCTGATTGCTCGATAGAACTTAGGTATTAGGAGTTGGTAGTTTTGGGGATAAGTAACAATGCTGGGTAACTCAGTAGCAAAAATCTGGAAAAAATTAACAAAAATTTGCTATGGAATTGGAAACCATACATCTAAATCATGTGAACACAAAACAAATTAAAAAAAAAATTAAATTTATAATATAAACTTATATAGAAGGAAAAATAATACAAATAATGTAAGAGTAAATGAAAGGAAAATATTTAAAAACGAAAATTTTAACTTAATAAACCTAGAAACACTTCTAAGAAATCACCGAACAATTAGTGTACTAAGTACACTTGTCCAAATTAATTAATTTTTTAGAAAAAAGCCAATGCAGATATTTTAACCCTTATCAGGCTCTGGGAACTATATTTCCTCTTAAAATATAGGCCATATTAATCCCCACTTAATATTTTTTGTCAGCTTCTGGAAAAATAGTTCGGACACATTTATTTTTAAAACTATCAAAAAATTTATACTATCTTATCCTGATTAAGGGTTTCCTACTATTGCTAGTAGACTGTCAGATGTTAAAATTTATCGTCCCCTTATTAAATTAGCATTATTATTTTAATTGATAAGGCTTCTTTCCATTTTACCACTATCTGCCAATATAGAACAGAATCCTGTCTTACAGAAATATATAATCATAAACTATATATTTATTTATTGTAGGTTAAAGCAAATGGGGACGTTGTAGACTGCCTAAGTACACTAAAGAAGGATAACACAGGGTACCACTTAAAACACCTCTTCATAGGATCTGAAGGTACCCTAGGATTTGTAACCAAAGTAGCTTTGCAATGTCCTGCTCGTCCAAAATTTAGAAATGTGGCATTCTTAGGTAAAAAAGTTCTTCATTCTTATTTTTAAACTATTATTACTATGTACTTGTACTACAGATCTTCAATAATATCCGTATCCCACGTGACTAATAGTAACATGACTAAAAGTAACATGACTAAAAGTAACATGAATAAAAGTAATATGACTGAAAGTTACATGACTAAAAGTAACAGGATTATAGTATAACGAATATCTCGCAGGCAAGTCACCCTCAAAAAAAATTGTTATACTATAAAAGTAACATAACTAAAAGTAATATGACTATAAGTAATATGACTAGAAGTAACATGACTAGAAGTAACATGACTAAAAATAACATGACTGAAAGTAACATGATTAAAAGTAATATGACTAAAAGTAACATGAGTAAAAGTAACATGACTTATGATTAAAAGTAACATGACTAAAAGAAACGACTAAGAGTAACATTAATACCGTCAGTAGTAACTCTAGTAAATGCCACTGACTTATTTAACAGAACTGATATTAGCCAAACTTAGCCAAACTTACAACATGATAGCAAGTTACCTAGAAGATAGAACGTTAGTAGTAGAAACCAAGGAAATGAAAGTAACATGCGGGGTACCACAGGGATCAGTGATAGGGCCTACCCTCTGGAATATATACTACGATGGAGTGCTTAGGATTCCAATGCCTAGCGGGATAAAGTTAGTGAGATATGCCGATGATCTGGCAATTGTGGTTACAGCGAAAAATATAATAGACATCGAATAGAAAGCTAACAGAGCTGTCAACATCATAACCAGTTGGATTAAAAATAAAAGCCTTGAACTCGCACCACACAAAACAGAAATTGTGATGTTGGTAAGTGGTAGAAAAGAGAAAACCATCTCAATGAAAGTTGAAGATGTTCAATTACAAAGTCAGGAAATGTGCAAATACCTTGAAGTGTATTTTGATAGAAATATGAGAATGGGACAACATATCCGTATGATTGCTGAAAAGGTCACGAAAGCTTTAGCAAATATCAGCCGCATAATGCCAAATCTAGGAGGACCAAGGGAAAATAACAGAAGAATATTATGTTCGGTGATACAGTCAATAATTCTATACGCTGCAAGCATATGGAAAAGAGCAATTGAGAAGAAAATTTATAGAGACATCCTACTGAAAGTACAACGAAAAACGGCTATAAGAATAACTAGTGCGTACCGGACAACATCGACAAGTGCGCTACTTCTAATTGCGAGGATGCCGCCGATAAATCTACATGTGGAAGAACGAATTATGATTGAAGAAGGTAATGAACCCAAGACCAGCGCTCGAAATAAAATCATAAAAAAATGGCAAGAGACGTGGGCAATAGACGACGGAAAAGCAAACTGGACCAAGAGATTGGTGCCACATATAAGACCATGGATGACTAGGAAACACGGAGAAGTAAACTATTTTCTTACTCAAATACTGACAGGACACGGCGCCTTTCAGGCCTATTTACATAAATTTGGACTAAGTGATACAGCTGACTGTATCTATTGTGGTATGCGGAATATACGTTCTTCGAATGCCAAAGATGGGAAGACGAAAGAAGGCAGCTAGAAATATTTCCAGGGAGGATAAGACCAGAAACCCTCGTAAGTAGAATGGTGGAATCGAAGGAAACATGACATTATGAGATGAGCCCAATACATCAAATAACAAAGCGTCTTCTAGAAGTAATGCCAGCAGGTACTTCCAAGAAGACCCACAATGCTTTAAGGGTGGTTTTAGTGGGTATACCGGCCTTGCACCCTCTAGCCGGGAGTCCCACACTACCAGGTATGGGCAGAACCATATGCCTGGTATCCGTAAGGGATTCCCACCCAACCAGAAAAAAAAAACATGAGTAAAAGTAACATGACTTATGATTAAAAGTAACATGACTAAAAGAAACGACTAAGAGTAACATTAATACCTTCAGTAGTAACTCTAGTAAATGACTTATTTGACAGAACTAATATTTAAGTTGTCATAAAAGTCATTAAGAACGGCTATTTTCATTAAATTTTTTGTTTTACCAGATCTTGTGAGGTAGGCTTATTGTTGAAGACTCGTTACTAAGACACAATATCTAATGACATATATTTAACCTTTTTAAAGGGTTACAAAACTTTGTAAAGGTTCTGAAAACTTTCAAGCTCCTTAGGCAGCGACTAGCAGAGATTCTTTCAGCTGTTGAAGTGATAGATACGCCTACAATGGAATTTATAAAGAACGTGAACAGTCAAAATTCACCAATCGGCGAATATCCTTTCTACTTAATGATCGAAACATCTGGCAGCAACGAACGACACGACGAGGAAAAGTTAAGTGGATTTTTTGAAGAAGCAATACATAAAGGATTGGTGCTGAATGGTATTGTGGCAAATGAACCTGCGAAAATCCAGGTATGAATAGAAAACTTTAATTAACCATAATTGTAAATTTATAGCAGGTCAAAAACATGAATAGTTACAAAATAAACAATTAAACAAATCACGAGATAAAAGTTACAATTAAACAGAGTGTCCATGTATAAAACAATAATAGTCCAGGGTATTTAGATCAAAATCGACCGAAATAGCGGAAATTTTTAGGGACAGCGGGTTGACTACAACAACATACCAGAGTTTCAAAAAATTTGACGGTTCGCCACTTTGCATAAGAAAAGTGCGGGGTCCTTTAAACATATCTGGAAAACTACCATTAGGAAAAATTGTATCGATTAAATTTGTCAGAGAATCATCTAATATAATTTTAATAGTTTCCTTTATACGCTTGACGTTATACTTATTCATATCTGGACATGGAGAATTTTTAAGAGTTCTGAATCAAGAACCTCTTCTCTTGTAACTCTGGTGACAGAAAAAATCTTAAACAGGGAGCAAGGAAATATTTTAAACATTAATAAATCATTAAGTGGTAAAACCGATAAAAACTTTATGATATTCTCTGCCTCATTTGAAAAGAAATCGTTAAAGTTAGATGGAGTTAAACTATATTGGAGTAATACAAAGTTGTTTCCAATCCACCATATAATCTAGTTTAAGTCGATTGGGTATTTCCTTATGGGCCTACGTTATATAAGTTAGTTTTTAAATTATAAATACTTAATAGACTATTTTGTTTAATAGTTAGTATACGTTGGACAGTCGGGCCAGAAAGATGGGCGTTGGGCTCTCAAAATTGTTTTGTATTAAGTAACCACTAATTATTGTAGGGGATTCTATATGAGATAGTTACACATTTTAAATATTTAATAATTTTTAGAAAATATGGTCAGTAAGAGAAAACATAGCAAATGGTTTCAAAGCCCGTGGATCTAAAATGTTGCAATACGATATCTCATTACCTTTTAAGGACTATTATAACATAATGGAACCAATTAGAGAATATACTAAGGATGTTAGCGAAACAGTATTTGGATTTGGACACATGGGTAACAAAATATTATCTCGCTTTTACCAAAATGAACATTCTTCACATTCTTCACTTGCACTTATAGAATTTAGAGAATACTAGAAAGTTTATTAATTTTTGGTTATTTTAGGCGACGGAAACCTCCATTTACAAATTATTCTAAAAAGTGATGTAACTGAAAAGATCAGAAGCAAAATTAACGATTTCGTTTTCGAAAAAATTTTGGAATTAAAGGGTAGTATCAGTGCCGAACATGGTATTGGCTTGCTGAAAGCTAAATATATGGATAAAATTAAACCACAAAGTTCCATAAAACTCATGAAGTCTGTAAAAAAATTAATGGATCCGAATGGTATTCTTAATCCATACAAAGTTTTGTTATAAGAAATAATACTAAATTATATATTTTTAAATTTAATAAATTCGTATATCTATTACTTGCGTCCATGACTTAGTTTTTTAATTTTTATTTGTAGCATCTACTAAATATTACAGCTTATTTAATTTCTCCCATTTCTACAATTACGGAGCGCCCTAGACACCAACCTTAATGTTAAATGTGACATTTGTCCTCTTTCTAATATTAAAATGATCACGAAGAGGAAACGATATTTATTTATTTAATCACCCAAAATGGCTAAATACAAGGATACGTTTCTGCAAATAGTAAGTTTACTAATACAACCCAAAAGACAATCAATTATCGGGATACTAATGGGAAGATGACCATCTTGGCTAAACGTTCAAAGGCTATTATATTTTTATGGTTTGTGGGTCATCAATCAATAATTCATGTCAGCTTTGCGTTGGGAGACAGTCACTTGCCCACCTCATATGTTTGTGGGCAAATAATTTTAAATGATATCTACAAGATGCAAATGCGTTTTGGCTAAGAAAAACAAAAAGGTGGGACTTAATCGATAAAAGTGTATTTTGAACAGTTTATAACTTTTTCGAAATACAAGTTTTGTAAGTGGCTGCATATTCATAATAACAAGATCAATACAGTATAAAAGAAGAAAAATAAGAATTTTTGGTAATTTTTTTATGAATGTCATTTTGTTCACATACTTTAATTTTCTCTTACTATACGGAGAATGGTCGCACTGCGCAGCTTTCTGAGTGCCTTTTAAAAGGAGAGAGAAAACTCCGCCATTTTGATGCCTTATTACGTGTTGACTATATCTTGGCGCAATATTTTTGATAGGTGCGTTTTAATCATCCGCTTCTGCTTCGGAATTGTCAGTTTTCTTGTTTTAATCTGACAGGTTAAAACGACTAAACCGACAATTCCGAAAGCAGAAGCGGATGTTTCAAACGCACCTGATATTTTGCTTGCTGCTTAGTGTCAGTGAATATCATTTTTGGAGTCACAGTTTATTTGGAGTGAGGGTAGCCATATGTGAGTAGTAGGGATTAAGTGTAAGGGGTTAAAGAAAAGGTCCTTTATTTCTCACAAGTCAATTTAATTGGCGACCGGTTTCGAAGCTGTCACTTCATCATCAGGCACAAATTGACTTGTGAGAAATAAAGGACCTTTTCTTTAACCCCTTACACTTAATCACAGTTTATTGCTAAAGAATCAGTTAGCTCACTCAGACCAGTTGAAAGTTCCAAAATAACATCCACTCCAGGGATACAAATTCAGGATGCGCAGAAGACTGCTGTTTTATTATAGGCGGTTGTCATATATTGTTTTATCCGAGTTGCGCAGTGTATAAACTGGAACATTGAAATCAAAAGTGCCGACGCAGAGTGAGCGAACTGATTCGTTAGCTATAAACTGTGATAAAGGGATCAAAATGGCCGCGCCATATGTTGGGCGTGTCAGACCTCTCTCTTGCAACGTATAGTATTCAAAGTATGTGTATTTTGTTACTTGCAAAAGTCATTTAACATTTATCAAAGTTTCTTTAAAGTGAGTATTTTGATAGATTCTCAAGAAAATAAGAAGTAAGTATTAAAATACTTCCTGTTTTGTAGGAGCACAACCAAATTTTAAAACTAACTTTACCAACTTTTTTATTCGGATTTTACCAAAAAATGTACTTGGATAATTTATTTTATTATTTATATATTGCGAATAAAATATTTATTTATTTTATAATTTTTTCTATCTTAACACTTGCTATGTGTGCTATTTATTATGTCCCCTCCAAATCCTTCATGTAAAAACAATTTATGACCTCATTGACTGGACTATCGTCAGCCGCAGCCAGATAGAGGCCAACATTTAGAATTTAGATGAAGGATCAGGAGCAGTTTTGAGTGTGCCTCTGTTGTTTTCTCTTTCATTATGACGCGAAAAACAAGGACAACGACAATATCGCTTAGCAAGAGATGAACACATGCGATGGATGATACGTCACAAGCGGGGCGCTGTCCTTATCGTGACGTGCTGTACGCATGGCACAGATTGCCTAGACCAGATACGAATGTACGCAGCGGCATCTTGACTGGCTCCCTCACAAAGGCGATGCCGGTTTTGGCTTAAGGTGCGCGTTTGTTGGACCATGATAATAATTTATTTAGATTATGAAAAAACGTTAGTTGGACCATGGAATAGTTAAGAAATAAAACTACAAAGAAAAATAACTTTTTTTTTATATAAAGCAGTCAAAAATATGTTGAAAAAAAATCAATAATATTTATAAATGGGGCAAAATTTTAATGTCTTATAAATAATTTAATGGTGTATATTTTGGAAATTGGAAATTCCAGGCTTAGTTGACAAACTATCAAATAGAGATATAAATATTTTTTCTACTTTGAAAATATAAAAGAGAAATTTTTCGCTGGGAGATTTTAAATTGCCAAACACCTTTTCTTTAGAGTCGTATGCTTTAAAATGCTCCTACACGATTGAATTTTACATGTGTCAATACTATTTATGTTGATAAAGAGGATTTGATCAAATGTCTCGAAGAAATTATGAACACAGAATTCGATAAAAAAACTATTAATCATACTAAAGGGTTGATAAATTTTGAAAGACAGATTTTAGTTTCTGGTTATTTTTCTTCAGCAAAATAATGCCAAATTGCGATATACTTTTTGATCAACTGCAGAGTAGACAGCTCGATGCTCTCAAGGTTAAGATAAACATATCAAATTTTGCAGCAGCTATTCAAAATATTAGAAATAATATAGACACGCTAATTCATGAAGAATGGCAATCACAACAAGACCCACAAGAACTAAACTTAAACGACAACAAGCAAGAAGAGACGGTTTGTTGAAAAGGAGGACCCCATTCCTAACTTAAGGATATGTAAGGAAATTTGTGATACAATAGAAGTGCAGGTAAATGAACGTTTTAGTTTTACTACCCACCTAACAATTGCAAGTTATTTGATAGTGAAAAATTTAAAGACTGCCGAGGTTGTTTTCCAAATGAGGACGTTAAAACTGTGTGTAGTCTATTTCCAAACGTAAACAGATTAAAATTCAAAAACGAACTGTCCATATTTTACACCCGAGATGACTTTGTGCAACACAATGGGGCCGTACCGTTATTACAAATGTTTTTTTTAGAACAAGTTGACAATTACATTTTCGGAATCTGTGGAGCTGCTAACTATCCTCTGTACAATTTCCATGACCACAGTGGAGAGTGAAAGATGTTTTTCGACACTAAAACGTATTAAAACATTTTTAAGGACACTATGTGCCAAGTTAGATTGTGCGCGTTAGCCATGTAATCCATCGAAAAAAAAACTTATTCGGTTCATTCCAAATTTTAATGATCTGGTCATCGATCACTTCGCTAGCCAAAAATCCAGAAGAATGGACTTCAACTATAAGAAATAGTATACAACTGCAGCGGTACCTAGCAGTTAGTCTTCAATTTTGTAATATTTATTTTGTTTTGAAATATATTTAATTTTCATTAAGCGGAGAACTTGTTTTCCTAAGGGAAAAATGAATCCCGGGACTCCTTTCCAGTCTGTGCCCCACTGCCGCTAGTGCCCACGAGCCGCCACTGGCTATGATATCAATAAATAGAAATATTAGTTCTGGAGATAAATAATTTCGACGAAAAAGTCAGCTCGTTTCGTGTTTTATACCAGTAACCAAACATTTGCAAAATTATTATGTTATGCATTTCTGTTAAGTAAATCATTTTTCTGATCTGTAGTTAAAACATTCAAATTTCACGTGCAACACTTAATTAATGTCTCAGATGAATGTCATGTGGTTACAATCATGCAGCAACTATGAAGAATGTTGATAACTTTTGTCTTTTTTATTTTTATTACTGTCAATAAAGACAATTGAAATTATTTTCGCTTGCTTTCTCAGTATTAAAAACGAAACTCTATTAGTTATTAATTGTTTAGGGTGTTGTAGCGAATTACGTCGATCAGAATAATTTATTTTTTAATAAATTTGTAAATCACAGCATCTTTTACATAGATAATGAAGAGATCATTCAAATGAGGTATCACATATTTGAGGGTTAAAAAATGTTAGAATATAAAATGACATCCCACATCATTTTATAATCTAAAATTGACGTGTTTCTGATTTTTTTAAAGATATGTAGATTTGGATGTTACATCAATGTTTAAGATACTCATGACCATCTGTTCCTGCCTTTTTTCTGCTTCAATTTTTTTAATGATTCACTAAAATCTTCTTTCGCGATTGAATTTTATTGGAAACGTAATATTTATAATACTTTAATCACTTTTAGATTCTAAATTATACTTTGCTGAAACCGATAAATGTACACAAAAAAATTGAGCCCAATTATCAGCTATATCTTTTGATTCTAGTTCTTTAAGATTAAACATAAAGTAATAATATTAGAACAACCATCTTGGTTTTGACATAATTCCAGAAAGTGTTCTTATTAGAAATTAAATCAGCTTTAATTTTTTTCTGTCCAATTTTTTCTAAAATTTTCTTACTTTTATGTATTTTTACTATCGTGAAAGTCTGAAATTAATCGCATTTTTTTTTTAATTTTTACCTTATTTCTTTATAAAATTTAAGGACAAGTGTTTTGACAATATTGTTTAAGATTTCGTAAAATTTTTCAAAGCTGATTCTCTACACCTCCTCATAATTGGCATATAGTTCCGTATAACAGATTGACGTGGTCGGACAATGACGATTAAAATTCCAAAGACATCAAAGATGATATCTTTCAAAACAAATAAAAACTAAGTTTTTTAAAAAAAATATATTTAAAAAAAGATCACATTACTAAATACAAAGACTAGGTGTGGAAAAAATTGTTTATGCTAAGTATATTTTGAGGTATCCAGTATTACACAAATATTAACAATAAAAGATTAGGTTAGGATTGTCACTAACCGGCAGGTGTCGTCATCTGGCTCTGAATCCAGGCAAGATAGAACGGAACACTGACGTAAACTCCATAAACGTTTTGTTGTCCACAGTTTTTGCCCCATATAACTAAACCAGCTATACTGTATACGTTTGTCGTACTTGGGCACACCAACGGAGCTCCACCATCTTGCTGTAAAAATATACTTATTATAAATCTGTCTTAAACATTTTAAAACCATTAAGTCACTCTGGTTTCAAAACAGAATAGGTTCCTTTCCAGAACTTTTAGATAATATCATTTAATCTATGAAATAAACATTAAAATTTTACATAGCAATAACAATGATATCATTTTTGTCTTAGAAACATTACCTATTTTACAACATTTCACAATGAAATTCAAGTAAAACAACTAATCAGAGTGCAGTTAATAACTATATTCGTCTTTCAGGAACAAATTATCATAAAATATTAAGAGAAACTTACTGTACATGCATCTATCATTGCAACCCCTCCAGCACAAATTTCTCCGTTAGGATCCAAGTACATATCAACATTATTTGCCAGTAAATTTGCTTGCGCAAAAGATGCCCTACAAGTCGCGTAATTGACAATTGACACAAAGATTTGTCTTTGTGGGTTTGAAGGCGCGTCAAATATGCTGAAAGCGCTTTGACCCCAACCACTCACTGCACATCTAAAACAATAAAAAATATGTATAATTGGAGAAGATAAATTCCACATATTTTGAAAACTTGATTAATTATAAAATCACTTAATATAAAATATATGTTGGACAAACTAGATCAGTTCCAACAGGATTTAAAGAACATCCAGTTGGTAGTTGGTAAGTTATTTAACTTTCTGGGAACAAATATGGATCTAATAAACCGTAATATAGTATTTATTTCTGATTTCTACCTATATAAACATAACTTACTGTTGTCCTACAAAAGTTGTTCCAGCAGCTGGCAAGCAGGCGGTGTTGATATTGGTGTAAATTCCTAGTACAATTGGCTGAGTCAGTTGCAGTACTGCTATATCATTAATAAGAGTACTGGCTACAAAAGACGGATGGACGGCTATTCTAGTAACCGTACTGGTTTGAACATTAACAAGATTTACTGGATTGTAGACACCCATTAGTACAGTTACAGCCGTTGGAGTATTTCTGATTACAAAAAAAGTTTTTTTTAATTTATTTAAAATAATATGGAAAAAAATTGAAAGGTTATTAAATCAACTTATTCCATATCTTTACAGATGATAGCAATAAATCTATATATTCTAATGCCCTGAATAACCAAATATCATAATTATATCCAAACGGAATCAATCATACGTACTATCAAACAAAATAATGCACATCAAAAAATACCTATGTTTATAAACAACCAGGTTGTATTTGATATGAAATCTTTTGGTATAATCAGTCGTCAGCATTACCATCACCAAATAATTTTACGCAGCACCCTGCGGCTGTTATAGGAAACGTACAGATAGAAAAAGAAGTGAAATGTTACTCATCGCCCTACAGTGTGCTGCGGTCGTCATAAGTAAAAGTACAAGTAAAAGAAGATAGAATATTCTAGAAATGTCTGGAAATGTCATTACCCGTCAAGAATATTCTAGACGACAGTTCGAGAAGGTTCGGGAAGGGCCAAGCAAGCTATATAAGGATGATCCTGACGTCAGTTTTCAGTTTTAGGATAGACGTTACATGTTAATGTTATCAGTTGTATAATTGTTGTTAAAATTGAGTTGAAATAAATTGCGATACCAAAAACCTGTGTAACAATAGTTTTGGATAGAACGTTTCCACGATAGTCAGGTCTTCATTGAAGTTGGGCAATCGTTACAAAAGATAAAAGTCTGGTTCATAACCTAAAGAAAATGCTTCCAAGTCAGCATGCAAATATTTTCTACTTAAATATATTTCAGAGTAAAACAGAAAGATGAATTGTTCGATGTGAAAGAAATAAATGTAGCTATTCCCATCTAATACGCTATACACAAGAGACACCAGAGAAATAGAAGTTGTAAGGATTGCTTCTTTTGCTATCAACAATTTTCTTAGTCAATCTACAAACATTTATTTCCAATAAAATTTTTCTGATCACCCAAACTGCTGGCCATTTATCAGCCTCTTCAAAAAGAAGTATTGATTATTGTACTTACACATTTAAATATACTTTATGAGCAGCTGTAATTACATAATAGGGGCTGATAAGTACCCCACTTCCGGCGTAGGCGCTAGTAGCGTTTCTAAGATAGGCTTGCCATGGGTAAGCTCCAAAACTTGCTGATCCGGGTGTTGTCATATTTGGTGTTATAAATCTGGTACCGCAGGCTGTGTTTGTACCGAAACATGGTGTGCTTCCAGCTGGACATACATTTGGCTACAAATAAAAAAATAAAGTTTGTTTAGGTTTCTTTTCTAATATTGGAAAATATAATTCTTATGATCAAAATAAATTACCTTTAATCAAACTATTTCAAGGTATTATCTAAGTAAGTAGATGTCACCTTATAATTCTAATGATGTACTTACTGTTACTGTTCCTGTCGGCGTGACTATCCTAGGATCAATTGTGTTAGTTCCACCACCAACTGTGGGACATACCGTGCCAGTTGGAAGGCATAAATAAAAAGCACCATTTACAACTCCAGATGTCGCTTGGCTACTTACGTTGTCTAAAACATTTAAAAACAACCTATAAAGTCTATTTCATAAATTAATTTTTAATATTAATCCAGGTGCGAATATCAGTAAGATAAAACTAACGTGGGTACTAGAAAAAATCGATTTGATGATTAATTTTTATACCTAGATCTTAGACATTTATTTTTAACAAATTACCAAAAGAATTTGAAAGTCACTACCTACAATATTTTTGTTTTTTCTGGGGGGTGGGTTGGCTCAGTGGTTAGAGTCATGACTTTGAGATCGAAAGGTCTCAGGATCGAATCCCACCGTTGGCCGGGATTTTTTTATTTAATTTAATTATTTAAAATTAATTCTGATGCCTTGGTAGGATTCCCCACTCGACCATTCACTGTTGAGTTCTAATTAACAGTGCTGTTCCTAAAGTGGCGCAAGGAAACAGTAACAAGGCCTGTCTGTAGGGGTGTAGGAGTATTAGAGTACTAATACTTCTACACTATGGAGTATTAGACTACTAGTACAATCCGTAACCTACATAGAACACTAGGCTAATGACCTTAGATGTTGAAGCCGTACACTAAAAAAAAAAAAAGTGACGGTCTCATTATTTTTATGGTACTTTCTTGCTTCCGGTTTTGATGAACTACCACACATACTCAGTGTTTTTTGTGATACTCTTTGCAGTTCAGGTGCTGTTAAGAAAAACGGGCAAGATCATTGGGCTGCTGAGTTATTCCAACCAGTCCTCCCATAACTTTCATTGTTCTGTTTTTATGTTCTAGTGCGTCATCACAAGCTAGTACACAAATAGGTATTTCAAACTTATTTACAACCCGGTTTCCCTTTTGGAACTCATGCCAAATATCTGGATGCATGCTAAGAATGCATGCTAGGAATATTTTTTTCAGCTAGTACAAATATCTTTCGATCATAATAAAATAAATTGAAATCGGTTCAGCAGGGACCGAGATATGTCACTTGGTTCATAGTGAAGCGGCGGCCATATTGAATGACGTCATCATAGCCACACTCAACATCTGTGCAAGTGTCACCATCGAAATTATTGGAGTACATGTTTCTAATTATCGAATAGTACCACTTCCTTCATTAACTTTCCCACGGGACACACAATGCTTCCGTACTATTAACGGTTTACATAATTTAAGTAAAGTTGAACATTTTAACAAATAGTGTTAACTTGATTTTTGTCTCATATCTTATGTTACATACGTTACTTATTATTTATCATAATATAACCCCTTCAGTTAATCTTTTCGCTATTTATTTTGTAGTAGGTATTTTAATTACTGTTTAGAAAAAAATTGTGATTAAATAAGTGCGATATCATTAATAATAAAAAAATTGTACACGGTTCATCTTATTTGATTAAAAACAATAAACTAATGAAAAACATTTATTATAATATTTTTTGTACCTAATGTAATGTTGTCTTTATCATCCTATGAAATGTAAGTGGACTCACAATATTTTTAATTTTGACAAAACATTTTATGTCTTATGTATAACAGTTATTTAATATATCATATAAAAAACAAATCTTAAACCGAAATTTTGATGGAACCTTCATAGCCAGATTTCCTGGTTTTATATTTTTTCGATAAAATTATTTTGTGGTCGTAGAAAAAATATTGTACATCAATTGTGTGAAAATGATTTTTCACACTCGTAATGTAATATAATATTACTCGACTACGTTCTTCAAGAATATATTCCAGACTAATAACTTAGAGAAAACAAAATGTTTCTAATTTAGATTATAGTATATTACATTACGAGTGTGGAAAGTGACATTTTTCACACGAGTGGGAAATATTGTCGCACGAGGCGCAAGCCGAGTGCGACTATCACACGAGTGTGGAAAATCACTTTTCACACAAGTGATGTACAATATTTTTCCTACGACCACAAAATAATGTCATCAAAAAAATGTAAAACCAAGGTTATTATTACTATAATAATTAAAATGTATTTAAAAAAAATAATCAACAATAATCGTATTTATTCAATTTTCATATTTTCTAAACAAAAAAAACTAAAAAAAAAATAAAAAAAAACAAAAAAAAATTCTGCCCCGACAGGATTTGAACCATAGATTGAACGCGGTCGAAAAATGGCAAAGTTGATAAGTTCGACGTCCTAACCAGCTGAGCTAACAGCCCTTGTGTCAATTGAATGATCTAATCGGTTATGTATTTAACAAAAATAAAGAGCAAACATTATTTTAAAATTATTTTAATAATAATTGTTAAAGACAAATATCTAGGATTTAATTTAAAACAATTTCAATAATTTAACAATCATATCGATTTTAGTATTAATATGGATATAACATAGATAAAAATAGAAATTAGCTTACAAAATAATATCAAAAAAATGTAAAACCAAGGTTATTACTATATTAATTAAAATGTATTTAAAAAAATAATCAACAATAATCGTATTTATTCAATTTTCATATTTTCTAAATAAAAAAAAACTAATAAAAAATAAAAAAAAAACAAAAATAATTCTGCTCCGCCAGGATTTGAACCATAGATTGAACGCGGTCGAAAAATGGCAAAGTTGATAAGTTCGACGTCCAAACCAACTGAGCTAATGGGCCTTACGTCAATTGAATGATCTAATCGGTTATGTATTTACCCAAATTAAAGAGCAAACATAATCTTAGTTATTTTAAAATTATTTTAATAATAATTGTTAAAGACAAATATCTAGGATCTAATTTAAAACAATTTCAATAATTTAACAATCATATCGATTTTAGTATTAATATGGACATTACATAGATCAAAATAGAAATTAGGTGTTTGACATTTTTTGACAACTACTGCGGAAAGTAACATATTCTCACTTGGGTGGAAAGTAAATTCTTAGTCATACGCGTGTGATATAGGACACTTTCCATAGGACTATATAGTGTGATATGTGTCACTTTCCTAAGTGGTCGTAGGAAAAATTTATTTTTTTCGTATTTTATTGTTTTGTTTTTTTTGATGTTTCAAAAGCAACTTATTTAGTAACTTACCTAATATTATACAAAGAAATCCCAAAAAAGTAAAATAAAACATAATTTTCTAGAGCTGGTTCTACAATACTAATTCGAGTACAGATCATCAAACATTTTAAATAGTATTAGCCGGGTAAAGCAATTGTGCATTTTACAATAAATAAAATTATACGATTATTAAATATATCTGAATTTCAGTGCTAAGTATAAACGGAAATCACAAATTATTACATATTTGCATGGACGTAGTTATCTTATCTTTGTAACCATTGCTTATTTTATATTGGAAAAAAAAATCTTTTTTAACAATTTCAGTTTACTTTCCTGTAACCAGTAAAGAAAGTATAGGAACATGTTTTCGAATGAGAGTTTTACGTTTTGGGGTACCCTGAATTCGTTTTGACCATTTTCGCGTTGATGTCTGTCTGTGACTGTATCCACGATAACTCAAAAACATATAAAAAGAAAAACACCAAATTTTAAACTTAAGGTTAAGTTTATCTTGCAGTGAGCTGAATAAATTTTGGATATAGTCGGAGCACTTGGGGGTATTTTTTAGGGGGTCGTTATTCTACTTTAAGGTATGTTTTTGTTATCTATAATTTGAGAAGAACATTCCTTGAATAATAGTAGTTTCTGATGTCATTCTCTATAATTTCTGTCATTTATATGATTTCTTTAAAATGGACCATAATGGAAAAATTTTATTTTTTCTGTGTTCTCTTTGGCAATGAAGATATAAACATTTTAAAGAACAATGGGCAGAAATGTATGGAAAATTGCTTCATCCCCAATAAGTTTAAGCTATATACCAATTAAAAAATCTTTTCAAAGAGAATATTTGTTTTCCTTACGACACATCTCGATTATTTGTCCGTTCCGAGTTATATCATCTTAAATGTAATTAATTACATGATATTCCAGTGCTTATATTCTGTTATTGTAGTGCTTATTACAGGCAAATAATATTTAGTAATTATTACATCTTAGTAATCTAAAAACAATTAAAATCTGGGGTTTTTCATATGATGCCGTCGAGGATTGTATCCGTCACGTGTATCTCTTACCAAGGGGTCTCTAAGTGTTGGCTAGACGGCCCCACTTATTTCAGAGTCTTAAGATTACGAAAAGCATGTTTCCCCATTCCGTCGGCAGAGCTGGGGAGGATTCGAATCACATAGGATTCGAATCTGGGATTCGAATCCTTTTTGAGGATCCGCGAGCGGTATTCGAATACTTAAGAAAAAAAAAGGATCCGTGATCCAGATTCGTCGAGTAAATCCTTAAGCATTCGTATTCGAATCAGAAATATTAGTCTCGGATCCTCTTAAAGACCAAACTACGCAGGCGCGAACGGTTATGGCTCACGCTTTGTCTTGTCGCGAAGTGTAAACCGAAATAGACAGATTTAATTTATTTATAGTTTATTTATTTAAATCACTTTATTTATAATTTATTTATAACGTACTAATTAATTTATATAATACTTAGACACTATTATAACCTACAATTCTTAAGTTATTTATTAAAATTTGTCTTTACTATCCAACACTTAATTTGAAACTTAACGTCAGTCGACAAGTCGCGCTATTTATATAGAAAGAACCAACTCTTACAGTTCCAGGAATTATTCTTCCACGTATCAGACTGCGATGGAAAACATTCGATTTGGTTTCTCGAGTCTCGAGATGAGTCTCAATGTGGTCAGCGCTAGAGTTCATGTAGTGGCTACTGTAATAAACAAAGAACAGGGTTGGTTTCGCGTCACAGTAATATGGTTAGTACTATAGATATTTTTTGCCATTTTAAATCCATTAATATGTATATTATGGTCTTATTTTTTTTTCAATTTTCACATTTGAAGATAATATATTATATCTATCTATCTATACGTTACTCGTACAATACGTTTATGTTTAGCCCAGCTGACACATCCTCACCTATAATCTCCGCAGTGATTATAGGTACATATAGAGTGTTTTGTACATGTAGGTTTTGTATATTAGATACCTATGCCGTGGTAAATAATTATTTCTCTATCCTCATAGATATTATCTATTCTACGTACAGACTACATAACGAAAAATTAGACCACTGAACGAATATACATATCAATTCTAGAAATATCATAGGTAGAGTACTGAGTTGTCAAGATTGAAGACTTATTATTTTATAAATTAGTAAAAGTCATAAATTATTTTTAAATTAGTTATTTTATTTTAATTAAAAAATATACTAGTGAGAGTGAATTATCTGTCTCACTTAGACGATTGTGCACAAATATCCACTCTTTTTGCACAAACTACCATATCAATTCAACTGAATTCAGAAATCATTTCTGTTTTGTATTAATAAAACGTTCTACTTCAGAAAGCTAATATTAATTTATAATTAGCTTATTTATGAACTCAAAATGACAGATTACTTCTGGAGAGTTATTCAATGTTAGACATTTCAAAGCGCATATGTTTTTATTAAAATCATATGGTAAATAATTCATTATATTATAAGATAAGAAATTTAAATGTGAAATAAGATAATGTACACAAGATCTCAAACAACAATTTTGTATTATATTTGTTTGTAATATTATTTTTATTATTATTACTGGTCGGCACCACTGATGTATAAATAGTTTCCATTTCAGTCAGCTAATTGAGGTCACACTATAAATTAATAAAATATGTTACAATGTTACATTTTATTAAATTTTATTAAACGACCTTAATGTCGCAATACTTCTAATGAGGGCTGATTTTTTTTTGGGAAAACCCCATTTTATAAAATAGGTAGCTGGACTATTTACTAACATAAATTAAGTGGATCATAATTGAACACCTATTAATTTTATTTCTCATTCATTCATTTATCAAACAAATAGGTGTCCTGAATGAAATACAGGGTGACCCTGTTACCATGTTCCAAGTAACTCAAAGCTCATATACGTACATCTCTGGAAGTACTTGGTGTCTCATGGTACAGCCAACAACTGAAGCAAGTCTCATGACCCGTAATCACAGGATAATTACGCCTGTAAATCAAATAGTATTGTTAAGCAGCAGCCTGCAGCGTGCTGCGGTCGTCATAAATAAAAGTACGAGTAAATAAACAAGATAGAATAGTCCAGAAATGTGTTGAAATGTCATTCCTTGTCAAAGAAAAATCCGGATCATTCGAGAAGGTTCTAGAAGGTTGAGGCGAGCTATATAAGTCGATGGCCTGACGTCAGTTTCAGTTTTATGATAGACGTTATACGTTAATGTTATCAGTTGCATAGTTATTGTTAAAGTTGAGTTGCAATAAATTGAGATACCAAAAATCAGTGTTACATTGGTGACAGCGGTGGGATACAAAATAAAAGTTCATGGTAAATACTAGATCTACTGAGTTCTAAACAGATATGGATACTTCAGGCAGGAAAAGGAAAGGCATAGGAAGGATGAAAAGGAAAGGCGTAGGAAGGAAAAGGAGTAGATCTGTTAGAGCATCAACAAGAGCAGGATACACATACTGAAGGTATGCTGACTTTTGATTCAAAATTCGCCCAAAGCGCGCATGACGTAATGCGGGACGAAGTTATTTTGCCCCTTTTCGGTTGAGTAGTGTAAAATAATTTATATGATTTTGTGTTAGTAGTAACTATATTTTCCTATATACCGGGTGTTCTAAATTAAAGCGTTACAGCTATATACCGCTTTTTATAAAAAAAAAAAAACGTTTCGAACGAAAGTTTTATAGTTTTGTAGGGAAAAACTTTTGGCTAAAATCGTTTTTTATAGCGTTTTTTTGCGCAGCAACATTTTCAAGTAGCTGTTACTCAAAAATTAAAAGTCCAAAAAAAAAAATATTTCCCTCAAAAGTTTCTTATTTTTTTATGTACCTTAAGAATATGTAAGAAAAAAATGGGATTCCTATTTAAAAAAACAAAGTTCACCTCAATATGGCCATATTATGGTCAGCTATAAAAAAAATGAATTTAGTCAAAATGTTTCCCCTAAAAAACTATAAAACTTTTGTCTGAAACTTTTTTTTCTAAAATGCATATTTTCGGCGGTATTTAACTGTAACACTTTAATTTGAACACCCGGTATAACAGGGAAGAACTAAATTATTGTTTAAAATGCCGGGCTGCGCAGTGGAGATATTTCCAAATGCCACAAAATATGAGTAAATTCTTATCGAAGGAAGGACAAACTTAATTGAAGTTGCCCTATCCATTTTGAGGAAAATAGTTGTGAGATTCCTCTTAAACATAGACGCGAGAAAAGGAAACTAAATTCCACCAGGTGCACTGGCCTCATTAAGCAAAGAAAATAAATCAGTATTTAAAAATTTTAGCAGATAAAACAGTAGTTTCCTGTCCCAATAGAACGGTCCTTTTGAAGTAATGCCATGCATGAGCAGGACACGAACATATATATAATAAGAAGATAAATGAACAGGAAAATTGGTTTTGAGTATTTTCAAAGTAAACTTGACAAAAAATGTTTAAATTTACCAAATAGAAAGTAATGTTTTTGTGTACTTACTTTTTGTAAATAAATAATTTGTTTCTGCACACTTATTTATATTTCACATAATAAGAAAAGAGATTGCAAGAGAACTACTATGCCCAGAAAGTACAAATTAGAGTCAAACTTGTATTTGTAGTCTATATATTTTACTTATCTTATGGCCAGGTTATGGATTTTGTCGCAAAATACCTATAATTTATAAGAAAGATTAATATTTTTATTAGTATTATTTACCTTAAACCTTCATATTTGTAAACCAATATATTACAAAATAACCAATAAAGTTTAAGTAACTGCATAAAATCTAAAATTGGCAAAATATCAAATTTTAAACACTCCCATTTAATGTTTCCACGTCACCGTCAGTCAGCTGCATGCGCAGGAACATACCGTTAGTCTGTGTATCGTGAATAAGAGCATTTAAAAACAAATTTAGAACAGCAGAAAGAGTATTTAAAAACTAATTTAGAACAACAACGAGAGGAAGGGGTGGGTGGCTCAGTGGTAGAGTCTCTGCCTGTGGATCCAAGGGTCCCAGGCACATACTTGGATTTTCTTTTACTATACGGAGAATGGTCGCACTGCGCAGCTTTCTGAGTGCCTTTTAAAAGGAGATAGAAAACTCCGCAATTTTGATCACTTATTACGTGTTGCCTACATCTTGGCGCAATATTTTTAATAGGTTTGTTTTAATCATCCGCTTCTGCTTCGGAATTGTCGGTTTTCTTGTTTTAATCTGACAGGTTAAAACGACTAAACTAACAATTCCGGAAGCAGAAGCGGATGATTAAAACGCACCTGATATTTTGCTTGCTGCTGTCAGTGTCAGTGAATATTATTTTTGGAGTCACAGT